TACAAGATGATCCAAACACAAAATAAAGAATAGGAGACAAGATTTTAATGTGGAAAACTCTTTCAACTTGAAAGAGTAAAAAACCACGACTCTTTGGTCTAACCACAATATTTTTTCCTTAGTCTTTTTTTTTTCTGATTAATTCTACCATACGAATCTATTTATGTCATTTAATATAATTTTTTTTCCTTATTCATTTTAAGTTTAATCTAACCAATAACATCATATTACCTTTTCATTTTTAGTCAAATCACCATTTTAATATTAATTCATTCTTTTCCGTTAAATATGGCTAGCCAACAGAGTGTGTACTCCCTAAGATGGGAGAAATTCTACAAGTGTGAAGTCAACAATATAATCACTTTTTTTTTGGATGCTAATTTGGCTTATTAAACTTTTCCTATTGGGTTAAATGACTTTTCCTATTGAGTAATCATTCATTTATTGTGCGTATTAATTTTGGAAACACTAACAACTATTGTTTGATAACATTCTGGAAACGGCAAAGCTAGACTTTAAAGATAATGCTAAATAGAGCCTACATTTCTTATAAAATTAAAAAAAACAAATTTATGATTGAGATTTACACAGGAGTGCCTCAAAATAGTTGCTATCAGAGGTGCACTCATGTTTTGCACATATGATTATCATCTGTATCATATGCGTAAAACATGAGTGTATCCCTGATATAGCAACTATTTATAGGCACCCTAGCATAACCCTTAATATTTAAAATAACCTAAGACTAATTGATTGACCCATTATTCCACTCTCTCTGTCCCAATCTTGTAATAATATGGATAAGTCCAAATCGTAATTTATCTTATCATAATAGGAAGAAATAATTGAAATTTTGATTTTATGATTTTAATCAAAACATCCCGAATGCAAAAAGTCTAATGCTACACGTCAAGTCCAAGAAAAGTTGTACTACGTACAAGTTTGAAATATATCTTCTTCCACAATTTTTATTATTTAATTTATTTAAAAAATTAAATATTAATTATATTAATAATTAAATCTTTATTTGGCTTATATGAGATCCAATGATCCATTATGAATAAAATAACTTTCCGAAGTCCATACTCTAATCTTTGAGTGATCGTTTTTCTCCTTTTTTGGAATAGTATTTACATGATCAAATTAACTCCGTCCTTATTTTCTTTCGTGATTTTATTGGTGCCTAATTTTAGTCTCTAATGTTAGTATTTTGAAAAAAAAAATATCTAAGAACAGCATTTAGTTACTGTATATCATAACATTGTAAAATTAATAATAATAATATTATAATAATAATAATAAATGTGAAAGATGTTGAACAAAAAATGTTACAACCCAAATAAAAGACTTATTAGTTTAATAACAAAAAAATTACTGTCCATAAAAAAGACTTACTTTCTTTGTCCTATAAACTCCTTTCTTTATTTTGGTATCTCACAAATTCATTTTCTTACTATCAACAAAATACTTTTATTCCTGCTAATTCATACATTACCTATCACATTATATCTTTTTATTAAAAATTTATTATTGGATTCTACTTTTACTCGTCACATCAAATGTATTTTTAGAATGTTAACACAAAAATATTCCTTTTCAAATTTTGTAAAAATTAAAATGAGAACATCTTCTTGAACATCTTCTTGTTTTTTCTTTTTGAGGAAAGTTTAGTAAAGATTTAAATCCGTATATTCTCTTCCCTAACAAAAAACAGGATATTCTCTAAAATACTCCGCAATCCGTATTTTATGAACAATTGCTCCGTACGGAGTACGCTATATCATTTTCCTGCTCAAAAAAGACGAAGAAAAAAAAGAACACTTTTTTCAAACCGGAGCGGAATCGCTCCGCCATTACCTGGGCGGCGCCGCTTCGTCGTCGTCGTCATCCCCACTATATATACACGTGAAAAGAACGGCGTCGATAGGGAGTGTGATTCTTATCCGAAGAACTGTAATTCCATTTGTGGGCTTTTTCAGTTAATTTAGTTATAGATCAAATCAAAACTTTCGTATTTTCAGCTATGGAAACCCTAGCTCTGATCCCCTCCATCCCCAATCTCCTGACCTTCTTCATCTCGTATTTGATCATCTATCTTATTGCTTACTTCTTCATCTTCCGCCATTTCAAATCCAGCCTCCGACCGGAAGCTGCCAGCTGCGCCATCTCCTTCTCCCACGGCACTCCGGCGGTCTTCCTGGCCACCGCCGCCATACTCTCCGACGCCTCCAGAAGCTTCCATTCCCGGAACACCCCTTTCCAATCGCTGGTCCTTGATTACAGCGTCGCCTATTTCCTCATGGATCTCTGCCACTACCTGGTTTTCTTCCCCGGCGATGTTCTCTTCATCGCCCACCATCTTGCCACGCTGTTCGTGTTCCTCACGTGCAGGTTCGCGGCTGGCCACGGAGCATACGCCATTCTGGTTCTGCTTGTGCTTGCCGAGCTGACCAGCTTCTGCCAGAACACGTGGACTCTTGCCGGTGCCCTCAAGTCAGATTTGAGCTTTGCTGCAAAAGTGTACGAATTCTTCTCCCCTCCGTTTTACGCTTTGTATACTGTGGTTAGGGGTTTTGCCGGGCCATTGTTTCTCTATAGAATGCTGGTTTCATACTTGAGTGGGGATGCGGACGGTGTGATTCCCCCATGGATGTGGATTTCATGGATTGCTGTAGTGTCTGCTGCCATTTCTGTTAGTATCTTGTGGATTTCGAATCTTTGGGTTGAGTTGTATAGGGAGAAGAGTCAAAAACTTCACAAGAAATCTAGTTAGGGACAGTACGGCTGGGATTTCTTAGCTTATTTTTGTTCTGTTTGTATCATTACCAGCAAACTCGATGGAAATTTTGTTATGTTTCACACACACATATGTTTTGTTCTTTGACCTCTTGAATAATCTATAGCAACCACGACTTTAACTGCCCACTTTTTTGCTGTGTTATTGATTGGTGTGATTTTGATGAATGCTGATTGAATTAGTCTTTGTTTAGTGATCTTGATTTGGGTATTCTAATCATTTATCTGCAATGTGAAAGGGTAACTAATAGGGTGAGCTAATGTAACGTAATTGAGACTAAAAAAGCCTTTAAATGTAACTTTCTTGTGGAGCTGTGGATCAAGTATACAATCATCACAATACGCCCCATTCAATGTTGGATTATAATGTCTTGCTACAAAAGACCAGAATTACTTGTCAAACAATATAAAACAACAAACCCAATCTAATGCTTACGGATCTCTATAGGTTCATGCTTAAATAATGATCTGGCTATTTCCCGAGCTGTGTTGGAATGGCCTCTATGGATTGGCAGTGAGATGCTGATCAAAAAAACATTTGCCCGTTTCTTAACAAAAACACAAAGAATCATTTGCATATTTGAGTAAAAATTTTGAACTTTTTTGCTCCGTATTATCTAAAGCTTTCTGATGGCACTCGAGTGACATGTCTCCAGTGACAATGTAAATTAAAATTGTGGCAATACTAACGTCCGAAGCAATACTATAATGTTGAACGACGGTGGTAAAGTGATCTGTCAATTTGAATACCATAATTTAATGGGGTCATCAAACAAAACTATAGCAAAGGAGCATAGTAGTCATATATTCGTATTGGATATTTTTTTTATTTGTATTTTGATGTCGTATTTGGATTCGAATCCTAAATTTGGATTCAAACTCAATTCATGATTTGGCTCTATTTGAATCCAATTTAGATATCAACTTAGCAACCTGAAAAATAGTTAATTATTAATTTATTCATTTGATTTCAGCAACAAAGGAGCACACTTCAATGTTTACCATGAGTGATGAGCAAATACTACAGACTTTCATTATCATACACCAAACCAAAATTTTCTTTTAGTTGAACGAAATGAGAATGAGTTGATATACTCACCTACACATAGAAAAATAACAATAAAAAAAACTCATTTTGTACATAGAAACATAGGGCATAAAAACATGCGTGTATTGCTTCAAGTAGAGGCAAGATCAACGTTCATCTTGCCCTCCAAACCCCACTCTTGAAATATAATTTGATATACTGGGTTTGTTTTATTTTGAAATACTGGGGTCGTTTTCCATCCATTGCCAATTTTTTTGTCATCTCCTGATCTCAACTTAAGATCTGTTTGCGGAAGCAACTCTGTGGCGGAGGTTTATGAAGAAGTCAGAAGAACGTGGTAAAGAACGAGGTGGGAAAGAAGGATGGAGCTAAAAGAGTCATCATTAACAATGTTTTAGTTTCGTCCACATAATGGACTAAATCAAACACATCCCTCAAAGTTGTGATGTTCAGGAGAAACCTGGACTAAATTAAACACATTACGATCTATGAAGCTTTGAGAAGTAAATGCAGCAACACATTTAGGGTCTAACGAAAACAACCTCTCTTTTCACAAGACATCTTGACCCCAACAGGGTTGGAATTATAGTGTGTTGTTGTTCTTGTTGTTGTATTTCTTGTATACCAGGTTTGTTTAATTTTATTTTGGCCTCATATGCAGGTGTGTTATATTTGCAATAATATAAGTTGTATTTCAATATCAACCAAACATTGGAATTTGGGTTCAAAACATTTTTGTTCAAATGTCTTATTCGAAATTGAATTTAGATCTATCAGATAAGGATTTGATCTGTTTCCAGCCCTAGACACCATATACTATATGGTTGCCTTTTCTTGTTAACTTGGCTAGTAAGTACGAATATATATCCTATTTTTAGTAACCATAAAATATGTTTCAATCCTATGCTCTATGTTATCCAGATTGGTCATTGATGACTCATGAGACAATAAGTGAATGATGATTACTTTGTTGAGTATTGTTTTCTTAGTTATCAGTATAAATTGATTAGACCAAACTACAAACCAGAAGTAAAGCCAGTTTTTCAGAATGAGTTATTGACTTATTGCGACACTCGTGCTGTATCTTTGCGTAGATGCATAATGTTAATATGTATTTTTCTACTGATAATGCAGACTTATCAGTTATCATCCAATTAATACAACCATACTGTGCTGATACGAGAATTGAGTGCATATGCATTATAGGAAAATTTACAATGAAAATAATAGGAATTCTGGAAACACTTCTGGCTGCTTCTTGGCTGAGTTTCTCTCAAGGTTGTGATGTTCAGGAGAAGAACTTGTAGCTCTTTGCTTTTAACACTATATTTCTTAGTGCTCCAATAGGCGCCAAAACCATCAAAGTTACTCCAAGTATAATGCAAATCTGAAACCACAGGCATAATCAAACAATGTGATTGGCCTCAAAGGAAAAGTAAATCTACTTTTGAAAAAAAATTGTTTCATAGATCTAATATAGCATCCGTACCCAGTTGATGAACCAAGAAAGACTGAATTTCTTTGGTTTGTAAATAATAAGCCACATGATGCATGGGAGCTACAAATATTGAGATGATAATCTGTTAATGATCTGTTTTGGCATGCATATGTGTAAAGAAGTGGAAAGAGCGAATTTGTTTTGGCTTACGAAGTATGTTGTTGGGGCGAAAGCAAATCCTCCAAAGAATCCAAGAAGACCTCCAAAGAAAGGGATGCAGATGGCAGAGAGCATGGTGAGTGCTGCAATTAATATCATATAATTGTGTTATTGTCACTTTTCTGAATGGTACACCTAGAGAAATTCAACTCTAGACAGGCTAGGCACCCAATTTGGCACTCGTAAGCAGGCTATACACCTGATTAGGTGCCCTAGGGCCCATCCAAACGCCAAACAAGCGGTTAACAAATTTAGTGGTTATTATAGTTACTGAAAGAGTATTCTTAGGGTCAGTTTGGATGGATGCTTTTGAAGATTTAAGCCTATATATTCTTGATATACATTTAGACTTTTATAAAAAATGTAAGATAATAGGGGATCATAGAGATTTTGTTTTTAAAAGGATTTTAGCTATTGCGATATAGAGTATGCCCATGAAAGTCTTCCCTTCATAACCCTCCAAACCCCTCCATCCAAAAGTGACTTCTTAGCCCCTGTTTGGTTGACAAGAGAAATTTAGAAGACAAAAAAAGGAAGAAAGAAAAAGGGTGGGATAGGGTGGATTTTGTGTATTGTTTGGTCGATAGATAGATAGATAGATCATGGATAGATATAAGAGAGAACAAGAAGAATATAAACACACCATTTCCCACCATTGTCTTCGCACAAGAGGAAAGACCACAAAATGGTAGGCCTTACTCTGTTCTTTTTAATTGCTCCCTCTTATTTATTTATTTTGCATAATATCATATGCTAGTATGTTAGTGATAGTCTGGTAGACTTTAAGATTTGAGTGACTTACCCACATAAGTGTTCCTAACAATGAAGCGCAGGTACCAACTCGGCCTGAACATCAGCTTCTTGACAAGGAATGTCTCTATCATGTCAAAAACAGGCATTGCATAGATCTATACAGACAAAATCAAGTCAAATGATAGTGCTTCCAGTTTAAAACCTTGGATCCAAATTTTCTTTGTCATAGGAGATAAGAAAAAACGTCCCACCTGATAGCTACCAATGACATGAACAGCAACAAACATGTTGGCGATGGCTATGAGCCAAGTAGGTTTCTCAAGGGAGATGAGAATGTTATCCTCCACTGTGTTCCCAAACATCCAGTACCCTATAAGAGCAACCGGGAAGTAGCAAACAGCAACGACCAGGTACGCGACAATAACTCCCCTCCACATAGGACCCTTGGAAGGCCTCTCGGGGGTCGAAGGGATAGTGGCCTGAATCTCTAGCACAACATTGTGTCCCGCATATGCGAAGGCCACGTCTCCCAAGGCACCAAAGAAGTTTAAAACCGACCCTGATGTGGTGGAAGCTATAGAGCCATAACTAACATCTGGTTGCACGCCTTTGCTGGTGGCAGACGCCCAGGCAATAGTAGAGTAACTATATGCATGCATGGGTGAACACAGTTAGGGATCATTCTGCTTATTTTTCTTTGATAATATGATTTGTTGAGTGTATTTTGAAACTCAGAAAATATTGGGAAAGCAAGCATAGAGGAAAATTTAAGGGGAAATTTGGAAGGAAATAAAACATGAAGGAAAATAAAACATTGGTTATTCTTAATCATTTTATTATGATATCTTCTCAAACTCATACTTTATTAGATTTCTACTAAGAAAGTTCCGCATTGGTAAAAATTTTAAAAATCTATTTTCATTTTTCATTTTCGTTTGCATTTTCAAAGTAAAACCAAACACAAAAAATGACTTTCTCTAGCTTTCCAGGAAAGAAAATACATAGGAAAATGCAAGGGAAATTCTGGGAGATAAACTAGTTTTTGATACATGCTCAAACTCATTTTCTCGTGCATTTCTATTATTTAGGAAAGAAAATACAGAGGAAAATACCAGGGAAACTTGGAAAGAGAGAATCTTGGGAAGATAAATTAGCTTTTAATTTATGCTCAAACTCATTTTCCTGTTTCTATTATATCAAAACAGGCACATTAAACTTCCCTTGCTTCTCAATTTATATGAAGTTTAGGGGAGAAAAATCAGTAAAAGCAGCAATGCACCAAGGGGTTTCGGAGATGGGGGATTAGACTGGGTTTGATCCAGTGGAAACATTAAAAAAACATCTTTTATATTTCATATTTCTTCGCATTTTCCAAAACAAAGTCAAATTTTAACTGCATCCACCCCCACTAAAAAAAAACATTTTCTTGGATCTAAACATACCCTTGTTTAGTTGTTTTATACGTAGTATCTGTTATTACCTTAATGACATGGCGGCTGCAGCTAAAGACACAACAGAAATGGAGTTGAAGTTGGGGAGGTGGGCAAGCACGAAGTGGACGGAGGCAAAGATCATAATGAAGTAAGAGAGCTTCATGTCTTTGCAGTCTTCACAGAGCAAGTCATGAACTTTCTTGAGCGATTTTCCTCCTGTCACCATGTACACAATGTCCACTCCCACTTCAACCACCAGCTGCTGGGGTACCACAATCCAAAAGCCCAACTTTTCCCCAAATGCTTGCTGCCCAAGCTCATGGTATCTGTCAAAACGCTTCCCAGGTACCATCTCATGCATTTCTACCATTTGCCATAGAGTGTATAGTGTGACAACCCATGATGTGATCAACACAGCCACACCTGGTCCCCTGATGCCACCATACATTACATACATGCACACTATTAGTTTAAGATTTGATCATAAGGACTATATATACATACATACACACATACATATATGTGTGTGTGTGTGTGTGTCTGTGTGTAATGTATGTATTCATTTGGTTTTTAGGGGGGGGGATGTACCATCCTAGTCGTGCCATGGCATACGGAAGACTAAGGACACCAGCTCCAACCATAGCGGTGACGTTGTGGAATGCACTGTACCACCATTTCGCGTTTCTGGCCGAAGTAATCGGAAGCCATCGATCCACATCACTGTCCCTTTTTGACCTTTCTTCATCACCCTGCATGGTTCAAATCACACACCCCACAACTTCAGCCAAATTCACACAAACCATATATGTCTATCTTCTTGTTCAGGTTTCAAGAAACATAGCACAGATAGTGTATGAACACACAGAGAAGGAGAAGAGCAGTGTAAAAAAAGACACAGGGGGAGGCAAGAAGAGACAAGATCTGGGTTTCAATTCTTGAATCGTTTCTACTTTTGGGCAAAATTGCACAGAACTGATGAGGGAAAAATGCAAATTTTTTTTCCCTCTTCAATTCCTTCTCTTCTCAGGCTAAGATTTTTAAAAAACAAACACAGTAAAGATTAGTGAAAAAAAATGATGATAACCATGAGCTGTGAAAATCAGTTCTTTTCCCCCCTTGAAATGGTTTTTAAAAAAACATCTTGTCAACTTTAGTTTTCATAGTACATCAATTATGATGATCTGACATTTGCGGTTCTATCTAACATCTTGAACATAACACAAAGATTACTATGAAAACATCCTTTAAAATAATCTAAGAAATGAAATAAAACAGAATAAAGAGGCTCACCATGGCTGCAGTTCCTTATTAGACTGGCAAAAAAGAATATACAATGAACTATCAAACCAAACCACCTTTCTGTCTTTAAATAAAGAAATGGAGAGAGATAATAGGAGGAATCTTTGGATACTAGGATGAAATCATTAATGCAATTACTATTTTTAGTGAAAATTCATTTCACACAAAAAAAATAAATATTCATGCCAATATTCCTATAAATAACACTTCAAGAAAATTATTGGTTTACATGGAACCAAAGACTTTTGAGGCATATGTGATATCAATTTGCAATTTTGTAGTATATTATTGTAATAATATGAACTTCTCTCCAGGCTAGTGGTAGACACTTTCTACGATTCATGGGGAAGTTCATCTAAGTTCGAGTCCCAATGGAGGGGGACATTGGATCTTTGTGTGCCATTAGATTAAGAATAGTATGGACAGATACTACTTTGGAATAGAGTCAATAGCACTCAAAAAAATTAAAAAAATATTAAATTTTTGAGAGTGCTAATATTAATTATGCAATCTTGAATTACTGTATAAATTGTCATACCTTTGGGAGCATTAACATGAATTTTTTCCTAAAAAAATTTATTTTTTGTTGTTTTTGTTTTGTTAATTTCTATGGGCTGTTATCAATTATCATAGAAATACACATTAATATCTAATATTAGTATTGTAATAAATGTCTGCTTATTCTTGGCAAGTAACGAATGTTTGGTATGTTTTTCAAATTTTGAACTGTAATATACAAAGATTGGTTAAGAATTACTAAATAAAGGCCAGACATTTACTAATCCCATAAAAACATTCCTAAGTATGTAATAAAACGTAATATTTTTATTTTATATTTACATTTTAGAAAATTAAAATATCGCTCAAGAAAATTTATTGATTATTTATTACTTATTAGCTACTCCGTGTTAGGGATAACATACAAAGTGTATTCTTTTAGCGGCAAAGACGGTTTATAACATAACCTTCTCGTGTACTATATAAAAGCAATAAAACAAAATCTGTTTCTTGTAAAGGTAGTAATAAAACAAAACCATCTATTCGTAGAGCTCGCACCTTGAAGGGGAAGTTTGGAACTTGTAGAATAAAGTATAGACACTATTTTAATTTTAACTAAAATTTGAATTTTGAAAACTTGGAATCTAGAATCTTTAATCTACAAAGATGAAGTCGTCCCTAAAGCCCCGTGAATCGCCTTTCATTGTCGTTGTCAGGAGTCGAATCCAGACATTATCTTTTTTTTCTTTAATTCGGATATTGATGTCACTCATAATTCGAGTTGTAAGTTTGAAAAAAACACCTTAAATGCTACAACTATCACTCCCTTGTTTTTTGTTCGTTTGCTAAGAAGTCTATAAAGATTCAAATCAATGTATGATTTGAATTTTTACAGAGTATAAATTATTATGGAGTATTATTGTCCTATGAATTATGAGGTTTGCAAAAGACTGATATTTAATTAATTTGAGTAACAAATATTACAAATATTAAGCTCATAACAATATACAATTATTATCCACGGTTTATGTTTTTTTGGATCATCACTTTTTTTTGTGTGCAACAAAGCAAGTGCGACAATACCAATGGTCCTTAACTTTATTCCTTTACTTGGTTTTACTAATTTAATTCATGGCAACAACTATATAGAGACAATGATGTGTATAAAATTTTGGCACATAATATTACTCCTTTACATTTCTTTGTATTTGTCTACTTTTGATTTTTTTTATCAAAAATTATTTTCCAACAATATGTTAAACTTTGATTTTAAATTAATCAAAAATAATATTAGACATTGATATAAAAACAATTTATTAGATTTAATATATAGAATGTTTTGATAATACTATTTTTTTTCTAATTAATATGCAATGTATATTTTATTTAATTATAGATCAAAGATTAAAAAGTTAACTGAAAAAAGTCAAAGTTAGAGAAATAATTGGACAAAAATAGTATTAAAGAAATAGCTTACTCACAAGAGACTATTCGCTTAAATTTCTTTTACTTTGAGGAGTTTCTTGAATAATTCGAATGTTTACTCCTTTAGTCATTTTTTATTCATTCTTTCAAGGATAGCCTATACCTACAAAACCAACTAGCTTCATTGTTTAAGAGAGTGACACGAGACATTGTTGAGGTCACAAAATTGGTAATTCAAGTTTTTATTGCGAGTGTGGCTTTAAAAGTGAAACTAACATAGCCATTTAGAACGGGATAAAAACACGAGAAAAGAGAAAAACACACATGATGGGGAGAAAAGACACAAGATCCATGACCCCAAATGCATTAGATTGAAGGAGACAAACATAAAATCCAAAGCTACAAAATTTCAAGACCACAACAGCAGGACGCTAAGTAGAGAGACAAAGCCCAGAAAACATCAGAACCAAAACAGTATCAAAAAGAGCAAATTCTTATTTTTTTTTTTTTAAAAAAAACAATGCTCGACGCTCTTCCTGCTTTTCAAGCCAAAGCTCAGGCAGAGGCCATGTGGCGAATCAAATCAACAACACGGTTACTGCAAAGCAACAACAACAAACCAATGTTATGCAGGCTGTTTAACTAAGCGCACTTCTCAAGAACACAAAAGTAATACTGAGTAGAGAAATATCAATGCACACCTGTAACCCCATTCATTGTCATACCAAGAGACAAACTTCACATAGTTGTCATTCAAAGCAATGCCCGCCTTGGCATCAAATATGCTTGACCTGCCACAAATAAATGGGTTACAAATTACTCCGTATAATCCTTGATGAATATAGGGTAACATGGTGATTTCACATATTAAATGTAACCGATGTGGTAGCTTTGGAGCATTTTATATTTAATGCACATATCTTTTACCTGCTATCACCAATGAAGTCAGAAGACACCACATCATCCTCAGTGTAGCCAAGAATACCCTTCAAACTACCCTCTGATTCCTCCCTGTGAATTGCACACACACACACACAAAAAAAAGAATCATTTAAACATTTGAAAGACAATCCCTGTGACACTTAAGATTGAAACAGAAGTGAGTAAAGATGATGCTTACTTGATAGCCTTCTTGATTTCATCATAGGAGGCACCTTTCTCAAGCCTTGCAGTAAGGTCAATGACAGACACATCAGCAGTTGGGACACGGAAAGCCATGCCAGTCAGCTTCCCATTTAGTGCGGGCAAAACTTTGCCAACCGCCTAGACAATATTCGTGGATGGATGACAAAAAAGTTACAAACACAATGTAGCTTAGATTACCAAGAGTATTCAATTGTAGAGATAAGCGTGTTCAATAATAATACAGTAATACCTTAGCAGCACCAGTGCTGCTGGGAATGATGTTAAAAGAAGCAGCCCTTCCACCTCTCCAGTCCTTCATTGATGGACCATCAACAGTCTTTTGGGTCGCTGAATCACATCACATTATACAAGTAGCAAAACATTATTATTTCACCAGACAATAAAAAGTATTCTCTCCATCCCAAAATAAACCTCTCAATTCCCTATGGCTAACACAGATTGAACTTATCATTTCCTAGAGGAAAGCCATGTGGTTAATATTGTTACTCTCATTTGAAAATAAATTTCAACCACACAAAATTTGTTTAAATTAACATGACAAAATCAAATGAGAAGCTTGTACTGGGGGGGGGGGGGGTTATAAAGTAATTCTAATTACCTGTAATAGCATGGACAGTGGTCATAAGACCCTCAACGATACCAAACCTGTTATTAATAACCTGCACATATATAATTAGATAGTAGTTAGTCTTTGATTCCTATAAAAGCTCCAATGGAAGGGAAGGTATGTTAAAATAGAGGAGAAACCAACCTTTGCCAATGGAGCAAGACAGTTGGTGGTACAACTAGCATTAGAAACAATATCAATGTCTTTCTTATACTCAGTATGGTTGACACCCATCACAAACATGGGAGCATCTTTGCTCGGGGCAGAAATGACAACCTTCTTTGCACCTCCCTAGTAATTAGAACATATGAACATGAACATCAATTGAATAACAATAATAATTCGAGCAAAATTAAGGAAGCTGAAACAATAAATAAGACTAAAAATTCTCACATTGAGAGGCTGTATGCAATGATCATTTCCATAATGAAAAATGCTAGGTAAAGGGGAAACTTACGAACAAAATTTATTTTGTATACTTCATTTTAGCTTAAAACACAATGATGAAAAAATTAAATATATTTAATTTTTCATAATTTTATATAAATTTAAATTATGTAGCATATATATGAAACCAAACTACTGGGTACATAAAGTGAGTTTAGAAAATATATAATAAAGTACAGAGTAGAAAAAGATATCAAAAGAAGGGGTGGCTTGAAGCAAACCTTCAAGTGGGCAGCAGCTTTATCCTTATCAGTAAACACTCCAGTAGATTCAACAACAAAATCTGCTCCAACCTCACCCCATGGAATCTCCTCTGGGTTCCTATTAAATAAATATCAAGAGCAAAAAATGGTGAATAAACCAAAGAGTAACATGTCGGTGGAATAAATGTGGTGCTCTGTAACATACCTCATGCCGAAAACAGCAACAGGACGGTCACCAAATAGGAGAGTTTTAGAGTCCTTGACTTGGAGTTCATGCTTTTTCCATTGGCCATGAACAGAATCATACTTGAACATATAGGTCTGCACATACAGAATAACTTATTGTTCAAGAAAAAAATGCAATATAAAGGTATGACAAACAGTGCACAACTATTTAGCTCTTGTTTATTAGATTGGGGAAAAACCTGGTAAATACTGTATGAGAATATAACGCATAAAGCAAAACTCCAATTAAAACAAGGCCTCAAACAGCTCTTGGGAATAGATTCCATTTAAAACAATGCAGTGATTGAAAAAAAAACACACAAACATCACACTTCTGTCAGATCAAATAGTTGGGCCTCCACCCAAGTCATAGAGAGCCTATTTCCAATTTTGACCTCTCATTTTAGATCTATATTACAAACATGCAATGATTGATCAAATAACCTTCTTATAATCACAGACAAATCAATTCACAGCAGTTCAAAATGGGAGATCCTATCAGATCAAAATGGGGATCAAATCAACAATCCATGGATCTATAGATCTACAAAGCAATCAAACGATCTATCTTCAACAAAAAACAGATTCCTCAGGCCGTTATTCTACACAGATGAAAACGTGTTTGAACGTAATTTACCATGTACTCGGTGGTGATGAAGGGATCATTGACGGCTACGAGCTCCACGTCGTCGCTCTGGAGCGCAACCCTGGCCACCAATCGGCCAATCCTTCCAAAGCCTGTAAGAATAGACCATCAAAACACCGTCCGGAGAGACAAATGAAATTCTAGAGAATAAATAAACAGAGACGCAGAATGAAAATGCCGCACCGTTGATTCCGATCTTGATCTTGGCCATGATTTGCGAAATAAGAGAGCTGTGAAATGAGGGATTGAGGAGGACGATGATAACAGAGTGAAAGAAGTATGTGTTGAGGACGAGAGAAATGTGGCTAGGGTTGCGGGTCGTTATATACTACTACTGGTGCCAAGGAGAGCCTTCTCTCTTGGAGAATACGTCGGGATCCGAAAAGTTCGTTTAATCTGCGAAAAATGCGGGGCCACAAAATCCCCCGCTCATTTCTTCGGTAACACGACATTCGTAAGGAAGTGTTTGGTTGGTTGTAGGGGAGGAAAAATATAAATGAAGCAAAAAAATACTCCCTCCGTTTCTAAATATACTCCGCATTTCACATTTCTAATATCGAGTTAAAATAAATTTTTTTAATTCATTTTATTTACATATTGGTATAAAAATAAAAAATTAAAATTACATATCAAACAAACTACATGAAAAGTTTTTTGAAATAAGAGGTGCCAAGAATATTTTATTTTATCGAATAACCAATAAAAATATACGGAGTAGAAATTATCAAAAGTTCCACCGACTACTAGAAGAAAAGAAAAGGAGGATTTTTTTTTCCCGCTTTCTCTTCATCAAAATACCAAAATGAAAAGAAAGTTAATTTTCATCATATTATTGTGCATTACTTCTTTTGGATCGTCTGGAGCATGAACAATTTTGATAAAAGAAAATAATTGAGTGTCCATGCATTCGACGGACAATGACATAAAATAGCAGTTCGGATTTGGGTCACCGAAATCCAGACTGCTATACTTTGTATCACTGTCATTTTGGAGGATTAAAAGAGCAAGAACCACTTCGGTGAACACTAAAATTATCCAATGTCATAATATGACATCGAAACTCAATTCAAAAGAACCAATGTAATGTCTTAAAACTTCACACGACAAATGTACCAAGTACACACTGCATCGTCTGCATGTAACACAATCCATAGCTCAACCTTTTTAACTTAATACAACAATGTGTATATAGATAAAAGCACAATAATCCTTCCCTGTAGCAAATAAGAAGAAGAAAGAAAACGCAATTCCACACCAGCAAACAAAACTCAAACTCCACACTCATCATCTGTTCTTTCTGGTCTCAATCTTTGCACCAATTTCTCCACAATCTTCTTAATCGCCGGGGCGCTTGCCGGGCACGTGTCATCCGCGAAGCAAGACCTCCCTTCCTCTGCAGCTTTACCCAGCTGAGGATCCAACGGGACAGCCCCAAGAAACGAAACGCCCATTTCGCGGCACATCCCGGCGGCCCCACCCCTGCTGGTGTCGAACACTTCGCTGTACCCCAACACGTCCATCACTTCCGGAACCTTCTCTTTCATTAATCTCGCGACCGAATCCGTAACCTCCACCAGCTCGCCGCTCTCGGTGGTCCTCATGAATTTGAACTCCGAGAGCTTCTGGCAAAGACCGCTCATGTTCTCGACGACGCCAAGGACACGGAGCGCGACCTTCTTGCAGAAGCTCACCTCTTTCCTCACATCAATGAGGGAGACCTGTTGTGGGGTGGTGACGACGAGGGCCCCGTCGATCCTGGTCGATTGGAGGAATTGAACGACCGAGATGTGTTCGTCCGAGGTCCCGGGCGGAGCGTCAACCACCAGAAAATCAAGCTCGCCCCAGTGAACATCCTTGAGGAACTGCTTGATCAGAGCGTTCTTGCGGGGCCCTTTCCATATGACGGCATCGTCTGGGTTAGGGAGCATGAACCCGATTGACATGACGCCGAGGTTGGGCTCCACGTAAACCGGGGACCATCCTAGGTTGCTCTGGTGAATCTCTTGACCTTCTAGGCCGAGCATCTTTGGGATGCTCGGACCGCAGATGTCGATGTCAAGGAGACCGACCTGGAAGTCCATTGAGGCCAATGCAAATGCAAGCTGAGAAGAGAATGTGCTCTTACCAACCCCACCCTTGCCAGATAAAACCAGTATCTTGTGCTTCACCGTCGCCATTCTTTCTGCTATTGCAACCAAATCTGCAAGGAGCACATAAAAACCAGAGATGTTATACTGTATTATATAGACCAACAAACACACCATTCCAACTAAAATGAAGTTCTCAACTTCTACTGAAATGCCAACAGCTTCTGCCAGTTAGGCTATGGGGTGTAGACACTTACTCTCTTCCCAATCTACCTCAGTTTTTCCTTTTACTCTTCCTTTAAAACATTTCATTAATATTAAATTGAAAGGTATAATTAAATAGTACTCCGGAGTACAATTTTTTTAAAAAAATATACATAATTAAATAAAAAAAATTAAAAAGAGCATACATAAAAAAAATTAGAGATCCCCGCTTCCACTCCCGCCCACATCCCCAAGCCATTTTTCCGCAATCTTGTCTTTCATTTTCATCAACACCGCCCGCTCCCTGGGTGGAAGACTGTCGATGTCAGTAGTCATGACTTTAAATTCTTCCAACATTAGCCGTTGACGCTCCAGCTCAAGTCTCGCCTCCTCCCTTGCCACCGCTTCCACTTTTTCTTGTTGCTTCAACCGAAGCTTCTCTGTTTGTAATTCATGAAATGCAGACATGCGACTTACTAGCGCGTCCAACTTTGATCCCCCGGGTGCTTCCGTTTTTGAAGATGAAGCTTTTTTAGCTTTATCCCTCCCAACGGGCTGTTGAGGTTCTGAAGGGGGCATATCACCGTCGATGTCGGCGTCATCACTAATATTCGGCATCCAATGCGCATCAGACCCGCCGGGACTATGGTCCCCCGACTCGGACGTCTTGGCCCGTTTTGCACGCGGCACCTCATTCGGGGTCGGAGCCCACTTCGAAGACGCGTTAAATACCTCCCACGCCTTGAGATGTGGAAAAGGGCCATGTTTTGCTTGATATTTTTCAAGCGCCGTTTTCAACACATTGTCATCACTCACACCGCTTGGGCGATTGACATGGGCCTTGTTGTAGTAACTGGCAAACCACCCGATTTTTTTGTTCATGTCCCTGTATTTGGAGCTAACCGAGTGGAAAAGTCGGTATGGCTTTGAATTCATCAAGACGTGGAATTCGTGGGTAACCTTATTCCAAAAGCCGTCGCTTGTTTGAGCATTCCCTACATTTAAATTGAACAATATAATTTTTAAATTTTTATGATTAAGCAAAGAGATAAGTTAATGAATTAACTTTTTTTGAAAGAAAGTTAATGAATTAACTTAAACATATATAGTAATGATATTAATGAAAAAAAACAAACCTTTTATTGGGTCTTGGGAAATGTTAACCCATGCTCGGGCCAATGCCTCCTCCTCGGTTGCCGTCCATGGTTTGGAGGCGCTTCGACCGCTCGTTCCTTCTTGGTTCCGCTTTTTTCCTTTCCCTTTCGTTGATTTATGGGGTTGTGTATCGGGCACAACCTCCCCTTCATCATCTTGGGATAGGGAAGCAATGTCACCCGCAACATTGTGACGCGGTTGTTGCAGCAGCATCGGACGCATTCCTTGTTGTTGCATGTATATTTGCCATTGTATATGTTGCCATTGTTGCATTTGGAACATGTTTGGCACTTGACCGGGACCAGTAAATGAAAACAAAGAAGGATCTGAGGATGGCGTGAGTGGTCGGGTTGGATCCATTGTAGATAAATGAAAGAGTAAAAATTTGTAGAAATGTATGGAAAAGAGTAAATTGAAAAGAAATGTAATCTTGGTCTGGATGAAGTAAAAGGGTTGGATGTTTTAATAATAAAAAAGATGGAATGGAGAGTAAAACAAATTTTCTTTAAATTCGGACTGATTGAACGTTCCAAAACAGCCAAAGTGCCATTCGGGAAAATCGGGGCGGGGCTGCCGAATTTTCCAAAAGCCGAGGAAGGGGGCAGTGTTCCCGATCAAGACCAACCACCTCCTCGGCTCTCCGGTGGCTCCCGACCCCCACACCGCATGGCATTATAAGTGGCTTCAGCAATTGCTACAACCTAAATATCAACATTCAGAAGTCAAATGCATCATTGCTTGCTCCTAAGAAATGAACAATTTGACGTGATTCACACAATCACGAATTCACGATGTTCAGAAGGCATTTTAGTCTCAACTTTTTTACTTTAAATAAAAGTTGCAAAACTTTACAAATATAAGGAAGTAAAGGAACTAAAATGGAGTTCATGTAAATGCATAAGGAAGTCCCAGTGTCCCCACACCCACTCTATTATAAGAACATAAATGATTTTTACCAGTCATTTAAAGACAAATGTCTGGACAAAATGTTATTTTGTTCCTTACTTAGATGAATGGAATTCAAGAATCCAATTGTGTAAACAAGAAAATACTACTCTGGTCTCAGCATTCACTTCCCAACAACTAGTTTTAGTTGGAAACCCATTTGAGTTTTGCCATAGATGATATATACAGGTCATTACATGACTTGAACAAAGAAGTTGCAAAACACAAGCTTTTCAAAATCTAATTTTATCGAAGGAACACGAAAGTCATAACTGCACAGCTCATTTTTCTTCCTAAACAAGAAATTGTAAAAGCATCACACCTTCATTTTCCCTTGTGTCACAATATCTTTCTCACTTTACCTATTTCCTTTTAAGATAAGGAATGTGTAGCTCAAACCATTCATCTTTCTGCTAGACAAATTCAAACAACTCATTTTTTTCACTGTTTAACACTTTTTCAAACATCAAGAAACTCAATGACAGAGCACATAAAAGCTGTGAAAACCTAAACAGAAGCAAATAAAACAGAATAGAGGTAGTAAAAATATCAACTGCAGAAGATTATAAAGAAGAAAAAGAGAACCTGGGTCGGGGCCTTTAGGAGCAGTTGCACAGATTTGCTGGTTGGGGCAGCCTTGGCAAGCATCGGATTTCCCGGCATCTTCCGATTGAGTCCCAGGACAATCTGGAAATTGAAATCAAAGCATGAAAGAGAAAAAAAAAGCATTCAAAAATCAATCAAACAAAAGATATAAAATCAGAGGGCGAAAACCCTAGACGCCGGCGATTTGGGAATAGAACAGTATCTTACGTTCAGGGGCGTTATCGGGAACTTCCTTTTGTCCTCCTCCGTTCTCCATCTTCTTCAAATTATCTTTCAGCTCGGTGAGGAATCGCCGAATCGGTAAGGAGACGACTTCAAATTGCTCGCTGTTTGATCGGGTCGCCACCGCCGCCGGTTTTCTTACGTACGGGCAGTCGGGCACTCTGACCGTACGAAGAATGCCTGGGCCTTAAACCACGATGCGTAAAAAAGGTCTTAGATAAAGCCCACAAATAGGCCCATCAAGATATTAGGCTTGTTTTGCGAGCGTCTATGTGTCGTTGACGTTTTAGAATTTTAGGTAAAATTTTAATGGTGTATATTAATTCTGAAGATACTAACATTAAGGGTCACTGTCATATAAACTTTTCAAAACGATAACGTGAATGCCAAACGAGGCTACGATGCCTGTGCTTGGCGTTCGAAAGAAATTTGAATACGGAGTATAGAAATATTGAATGCCAAAAGTTATGCTCCCTCCATTCTAACTAAAGCTAACTTTTCATGGTGTTTTACGATGTTAGACTGAAGTTATTTTCAATTAAATTTATTAAAAAAAATTAGTGTGGAATTTAATATTTAAAATTTATATACGAAGTATTAAAAAACTAAAATAAAAGATTTACGAAATTACAAGTGACATGAATATATTAATTAATCAAATTAGTATTAAAAATAGGCTAACAAAAAAAATAAAGTTTGACTCAAAAAATGATGAAGCTAAAGATAATTTTAGGACACTGAGAATAATAACTCTTTTCGAAATGCTAAAGACCTTACAAAATGACTCAAAATATGGTGTATTGTGTGCAAACATGCATTTGTTACCAGTTCCATTATTATTGGAATGTGGCGAGGCACCACTATATACGTGGCTTGTGCGAGGAGAAAAATACCAATTTCTTTTTTTAATGATCTATGTTGTTTTTTTGTTTCAATCTTTTTTCTTTTTTAATACAATTTAACATATTTTCTGAAACTAAAAATACTTTTTTTAAAAAAAATTAGTGTTTTAATCTGATATTATACAATTTAAGTAGATAATTAAACCAATTTTTTAAAAATAATATTTTCTCTTTATAATTAAAACTTTTACACGAATATACAAATATTTATAAAAATGAAAAATAACACACATGAACTAATTAAATTATGTCAAAAATGTTAAAATTGACAAATAAATAATATTTGTCACTGCATGACATGCCACTCCAATAAAATGCCACATCACCGTGTGGTATTCTAGCACACGACTTACCATTGCCTATGCTCTTAATTTTATGTCTTCGAAACAAGTTATCTCTCTTCTTTAATAAAGAAATCGATATGTACTCCGTACTTGGTGCTTCCATATTCCCAAGACTTGTAAAATCTAGGCCTTCTCATGTCTTTCATGGACCAGCATGAAGTTTTTTTATTTTTTCAAAAAGCTTAATTCATCAATAATATTTATACACTAAAATTCATAAAATGAGTATGGACTTTAGGACCACAGAAAATTTGAGATTATTATTAAAGTAAAAAAATGTATGATCTAATTTACCATCTAGATATATACCTCTTCAATTTCTTAAAACAATCCATCTTTTATTTTTTTCGTTTTCCCTAAAACACTTTCGCTTTTGTAAAAAAACGACTAATATATCTAATTTAAGTGTCGTTGCAATATGTTCCATTCAATTTGCATTGATATAATAAGTCATTTAAGTGAGTTTTCGCTCATTTTTTCTTCGAAGATAAGGATATAATTAGAAGGTCAAACTACGAAAATAAATTTCTCCCAAATAAAAAATGAATGTTTTCAACTTTCAAGGGAGTAGCATTTAGTTTTGTTTGTGGGGGAGTATGAAATATTTTTAAAAATAGAAAATAAAGTATTAACTATTTAATGCGGTTCATTGTTATCTCAATTTCCCACTTTATTCCACCCATGAATTTGGATTTTGGATATAGAAATCATTTAAAGGACACCTATATTAATTAAAATTTAATTTGTACCGTTCCAACTTTCTTCGTATTTTTGGAAAAAAATTTGTTTAATTTGGAAATTGCACTTTCTTCATCCGGGCTTTGAAATGCAAATTAGAACCTTGTTTATTCGATGCACATCATCATTTTGGATAAATTTTTGATAACCTAAATTATTTTTGAAAATGCTACGAAAATTATTAACCTTTTTAAAACACTAATTCTAACTTTGAGAAGTACACTGGTGCACATAAAGAAACACTTCTTTTAAAAATATAAAATCATTTATATAACGCTTTACGAAGATAACTATTATCTCTGGGTCAATATATTCATTCATTTTGTTTTTTTGGATCAGACTAGATAAACTTTAATCTTTGATTACATAAAAATTACATTGCATATTAACATAAAAATGATTTTATTAAATTGTTCTTGTAGAAAGTTTTCAAAAACTAACTCATATCTTTGATGTGAGACACAATTGATGATCAAAATCAATCTAATTTAACTTGAAAAACATCAAACTTAACGAATACATGAAGACGAAAACAACTTGCACAAAGCTAACAAACATACTTCCACGAGAAAATACGACATTGTAATAGAGTTCCAATAAACGCCACGCAAAAGAAACATAAACGAACTCAAATCAATCCGTTCCCCGGACCAGTGTTTGTGCAGGTCTAAAACAAATGTACTTTCACAATGTAGTTTTGTTACAAAAGGCAATATATAATAGGGAGAATGTAATGAATGCCATAGTTAGTTAATTAGTACTACTAAGATAGTTTTTTTCCTTCTTTTGCCACAACAACCCAAAATGAGCTCCATGATTTTTGGCACACGCGAGTAGCATTGGAAGATGAATGGAAGATGGGATGCCTAATAAATGGCAATTATCAAAGTCATGACACCAAAGAAGAAAAATGACTAAAATGACCCTCTGAGAGTTGGGACAACATAGCTAGTACAACATTTAACCTTATTGCCATTTGAAATTCATGTTTTTATTGTCCCATGTCTGGTCCATCCCCCCAGCCACTTGCACATTTCCACTGTCTTTTTTTTATCTTCCTTCACATTTTCACTCCACATTCTCATCATCTCATGTTTGGATTCCAAACCTCGACGATTCGCGTGAACCGACCCCACTCCGTCTTCAAGGCTCCAACCGCCCGTGATGTATTGCTTGTGGGCCCCGACAAGGGCTTAGGCCGAGCTTCGTGCCTAATCCTTTTTTTTCTCTTTTTTTCTTCTTTTTTTTTTGTCTAGTACAGAGGATGGAAATCTCAACAACTATAAGAATATCCAGCCTGTTGACGCTTCTGCCCCTCCGTCTCTATATCAGACGGCTTACGGTTTACGGGCTCTAATCCAGGCCCGGCCCGGCCCGGCCTAAAAGTCAAAAAAACGGTGGACCGGTTGAGCTCTTCTAGCCACAGATGAAGAAAATGCCCGCCGGGCGCAAGAACGGGTGGTTGGGGAAAAACTTCTTTATGCAATCCGAACACAGGTTTTCCAGACAGAAGGTCTCTTCGTAGTCGCAGTTGCTCAGGCAGCAGCCGCAGCTCTTACAACGAGAGATGCAGAGAGTACAAGCCCTGCACAGCTGCGCGCCGCCCTGCAGTGGGGCCCCTTGGCAGCTCTCCGAGGGGCAATCGTACACCAGCCTGAGCTGCTGGCACTTGGGGCACATTTCGATGTCTATGGCCCGGTCATCGTCCACGGAGAGGTACAGCTGGCCGCCCCGGTAAAACCGCGGCTTACGGGTGGCGGTCGACAGCTGGCAGGTGTCATCCATCACTCCAAGAAGTAGCTTCAGCTCTTCGTAGTGTTCGTTCGTCACACCAAAGAGCCCACCTATTCTTAGACGCTTTATCCCCGGGTATCCCGTGTTCTTGAAGACTTTCAAGCTAGACAAAAGCCCATTAATGCTGAGCTTCATGCACCCCGCTACGCAAAGCTGCAACGAATTCAAGATAATGACTATCTTACATTGTTATAGTGTGTCATGAGCTTTCTTTCATCAATGTTCTAAAATTCTAAATAATAACAATCCTATTTCACCAAATTTTCCAAAGCATAATTGAATACAAGAGAACAATGCCTTGTTTGGGAACAACATTTTCAATTAACGTTAGCATTTTGGATAAAATTCTAATGGTGCAGATTAACTTTGAAAGCGCTAATGCAAAACGCTGCCGTTACATAGCTCTTTTCAAAACGTTTACTCTAACCTCTAACGTTGTTGCCAAATAGGGCCTAAGTGTGGTTAGCAATTGTATAATGTCCATGGTCAAGGATTTCATGCCAATGTAAAATGCAAACACGATCCAAACTACACAACAAGGAGATATCAAAAAAAATGTGAAAGTAAAAACGAGATTACGTATAAAATCCACTTACCTTTGTGAGCCTTTTACTCCTCTCAAGAACATTCTTCAAGCCACCATCCGTGATCTTCAAACACTCCACGAGACTCAAGCAACTAAGCTGTCCTTGGGACCTGTTTGTCAACTGCAACAGAGCCCCATCTGTGATCCTATCACTCAAAGGATGATCTATCTTTATACTTCTCCATATAAGAGGATCGTTTTGCACTGCATCGCGCAGAGATTTGCACACTTGCTCCACGGAGAGAAGATCTTCGACACCCAGATAAGAGAGAGCAAGAAACATGCCATCCGGAGGGTCACCTCCTTCGCCATCAAAAACAGCCGCAGAGGATCCCTGATTCTTGGACGATTCGGCTTTGCAAATCCAGTAGTTTTCGATTTCGTAACTGATATCCATTATCCCCTCCATATTACAATCCAAAAACAGATGGCCGGAAAATAACTGATCATCAATGTTCTCAATCCAACCGGTGATGCCAGAGAGTTCGGTCATGGTTGTGTTAATATCCATACCAAACGGATCGCGAGGCAGCAAATCAGCAACATCGTCTGTTAACTTCCCCTTCCCACAATCAAATCCCCAGGATTTGCCTAAACAATCAAGATTCCTGTCCGGGCAATCTTCCATGAAACCCCTACTCTCAATCTCTATCCCACTACACAAGCTCTCCCCGCCACAATTCATCGCCATCAGACAAATCCAATCAAAATCTAGCCAGCCAAACCAATCAATCCGAAAAAACAAGGCATGCCCAGAAACCCTTATCAGCTAGACAAGAAATCCCAACAACAATAGCCCAATGAATCAGACCATCGCCATTAACGAAACAAGATTCAAAATTAAAGATTCAAAAACCCAATTGTTGAATGCCCAGAATCTAACTTCTCACGCAATCCACCGTCAAAACTCGCGGGCACGCATAACAAAAAAAAGGAATACGGGCGATGAATATGGTCCGCCGGAGGAAACCCAGCAATAAAGAAAGGGGACGATGCAGATTTCGGATTGAAATTGGGAAAAAATGGGCGACGATGATGATGATTAAGAATCTAGGCGGAGAAAAGATAGAACCTTTGACCGATTTGGCATGAATCTGAACATATATACACAAACAAGAACCAGAACAAGAAGAAGAGAAGAGGATCGAATTGAATAGGCACAAGGCCACAACACAGAGATAGAGAGAGAATGAAGGCGGGGGGAGGGAGGAGGGGGTTTATACAGTATAATATATACGTACCTCTGTATCAATTCATTCAATCCGAGAGAAATAAGGGGAGGTGTGAGAAAAGGGGAATCGCTAATTCTAGTGGATGAGAGAGAAACTGAGGGAACCAAATTTGTATTGTCCGGTGAGAGAGAGAGAGAGAGAGAGAGAGAGAGATCAACTGTGGCGCCGGGAGAGAGAGAGAGAGAGAGAGACTTGGTCATTAGGGCTTCTTAACCCTTCAAAATCTTTGCCTTAATTGTTTTTCTTAATTAATTACTGCAAAGATTGTTTAAAAAAATCTGTTTTAACTCCTTTCCTCTTTATTACTCCGTATTTTTTAATAAAAGACTTTATAATAAGGGAATGTGATTCTTTAATTCTGAATTAATCTCACAATAACAAATGTAATCTTGTAAATTTGTACTCCTTCTATCTCAAATTAAATTATATATTTGCTATTTACATGGCCAAAATTTATTTACTTTATTTTTCTAATTTATATTTTTAGTTAGCTATTTGATAAAGTAAAATAGTCAAGTTACCACTAGATTTATTTATATTTTGATATAGTTTTTAAATATGTACTCCGTAATTTTTATTTTTTAAATCTACACAAATTTTTGCTCCATCCCTCCATCAAGAAAGTTCTCATTGCGTATTACGATGTTTGACTGAATTTGTTTTCAAATTATTTTACATTAAAATGGTAGGAAATTTAAAATCAAAATTATATATTTAAAAATTACATGAAAAGATCTACAAAACTAAATGTAACATGACTATATTGTTTTATCAAATAGAACAAGAAAATAAGTCAATAAAGTGAATGGAGTTTGACAATGTAAATAGTGAACAGAAACTTTATTGTTGGACGAAGGGAGTATATAAAATGATTTAAAAATAATTTTAGTCAAATGTAGTAAACCGAAAAAACAATTTAAATTAAGACAGAGGAAGTAATTATTTTGAATTATTCTTCTTTAATTGAAATGGTGTTAGAACGTGGTACTTCTTAGTAGTATAACAATTTTCTAGACATGTTAGTGCTAGCTTAATTTTTTGTTAAGATTGGTTCAACTAACATTGTAAATTTTAAGTGTTCAAAACAAAAATTGTAAATCTTTAAAAAATAAAAGATAAGTAATACCACTTGGAATTTATTTTTTAAAGGCTTCGAACTCAACCAGTTTTTTTATTTAAAAGAAATTAAGTACTTTTAATTAATGTTTTAAATCTTAATAACTTAACTCATCGTTGTCTCGTGTAATTTGGATTTTCGTTTTACTTATTTTGAGTTGTTATTACTTCGCATTTAATATCCAATTACTTTTCCTTCCAAAAAAATCCAATTACTTTATCTCGCATGGAAGTAAAACCACGGTTTTGTTCAGATTAAGAAAGTTGTAAAAGAAATTGAATATTGTATAACTAATGATAATGCCATTTTATTGTCATATTAGTTTTTATTTGAATGTGGGTTTAATGAGAAATTATCAGCAATAAAAAATTGACCAGAAATATAAGAAGTAAATTAGTCGTGACAGAAATTTACCGAAAATTGGTTTCGCGGGAAAAGACAAAGAAATTTGCTAAAAAGGCACAAGTAGAACTTGCGAGTTCTTAGTATAAAACTTGAAGTACTCCAGACTAGTTAAGAAAAGGATAAAATTGGAAATTTAGGGTCAAACTGATGTAGTACTCAATTCAAACGGTCATTTAGATGGAAAGTATGATCTGATTCCAGTACTACAAATTTTAAACGCCTCCGCAATATACTTTAATAAATAATGAGATCCGAAGGTACCTCGCAATATACTTTTTTTAAAGCAAGGTTAAATTGAGAACTCCATTAATTTTTTCTATTTGAATTAATCGAATGTCTAATATTTCCGTTTCCTTGGTAGCATCGCATGATTTTGGAGCAGGACGAAAAGTTAGTCGAATGCTGATGTGACGGGAGTTGAAAGATAGCGGAAAAGCCCTCCATTGTAAATGCTCTAATATTTCCGTTTCCTTGGTATAAATTATCCATGCATTAAAAAATGCACATATTAAAGATTTTATTTCCTTTTTCGAAATAAACAAATAAATGAAAATAGGTAATGTGCAAACACATGAGCAGGCAATGGAGATTAATCTTATTTTTTCCTTCTCATTAATTAAATATACCCCGTAACAAGCAGCAAAAGTTTAACCCTTAACTAAGATTGTGACAAAGTATATAAAGGCTTGAGTTTTTAACTTCTAACAAGTGTTTTGTTTTTTTAACTTGCGCCAACATTTTCTCCATTTATAATTCTCTTTGTCATATTATGACATTTATATTTGTTGTCAAAAGAAGGCAGTCATTATCGATGTGCCCATGCTCTTCCCTCCTTTTTTCTAACTCAGCATCACGCCAGCATTTACTTTCCCTTTGCTTAAATAGTGAGATTTAAAAAAATTGAATTTTAAAAAAATACCTAACAGCTAACTTTCAAAAAAAAATTGGACCATTGCCAACGGAAAAAACAGGGAGGGAACCCTGCCTTTCCCGTTCCCGTTGGGGGGGGGGGGTTCCGTTCCCAATCCCACCCTTACCCTTCTTTTCCCGCTCAGCACACCGGATGGCCTAAAGTCTACCTAAAAATTTACCCCTAAACTGGAGGATAAAATATGGCGACAAATGTACTTCGGTGTTTGATTAATTAATTAACTTCATTTGTCCAATTTTATTTTGTCTATCTTTTTTTGTTAGTCCCATCCTTTTATTTTGATTGGAAGAAAAAATATGTTGCTTATATAGTTTATTTTTTATGGTTGAGTACTTGTGGATAATTTTTAGGAAAAAAAATCTTGTCAAAAGTTTTAGAACAAGGGTTTTGTTTGAGGATAAAGACTATGTTTTACTCTCATGACAAAACTAGAAGTAAAATATAGAGAAAATATCAAAATAGATATTTTATATTTTTATTCTAAAATAGGAGTTATAGGATATAATACCAAAAAAATAATATGGTATTTTAGGGATAAAAAATAAGGGTTATGTTTTGCTTCTATTTGAGACAATTTCTTCTTTTTTTTAGAAATTTAAGATTTCATAAAAATATTTCAATGTTTAAATATTTTTATGATAATACTCCATAAAAATTTTATTGTACGGAGAGCCCCATTGATCCATATGTTCTATAATTGTTTACACTATTGGATGTATATGCAAAGCTTCGTGCCTTTCAAAATTATTTTATTGATAAAGTAATATATCAATATAAAATACGGAGTACAATACAACTTACATACTCTCTTTGTCCCAAAATGGATTACACAGCTTCTATTACGACATCTTGAAGAACATATGTTTTCATATTGACCAACTAAACTACTAAACCAACTTTTGTGGTGTTTGAACCAATTTAGTTGGCAATGCTCTTTCACCCAAACAGAGCCTAAGTAGGATGGAAACTAGGTACAAGCAGGACAGAGCAACATCATTTGTGAATAGAAAAGAACACAACACCATAGCTCCAAAACCATTCACAAGAAAATAAGCTCACACATATTACAACTAAAAGTTGAAAGACAAATACAAATATAGAACCATAGTAGGAGAAGCCCTTTTTGCTTATACTTCATACAAATGAAAGAAAATTAGGAACTTAGTTATTAGAACAAAAGAAGGCACAAGATTAAGCAGCACAATAGAAAGATGGATAACCTGTTAAGAGACTTCTCCACTTGCATTTCTTGCCTTCTCACTCTGGGGCTACCACCACCTCCGGTGGCGGCAAATGCAGATGCACTTGGATAAGCAAACACGGTCGTGTCGGTGCAACCAAGCATTCTTGCAAAGATCATTTCCCCAAACATCCCCACATTTGGGCTGAAGATGCCAGCAACCTCCACAGAAGGCCCGAAGCTGCCAAAAGCATGGAAAGGGGGCGGTGATTGAGGTTGCTCCCGTGGATGTGCTGCGTTTGGCAGTGGCATATTCGTGCCAATAGCAGGTGGCCTTTGAGGAATGGAGGATTCCGTTCCATGTTTATTGGATTCGGTGTCGGATGATGATGATGATGAACAACCGCGGCCATAGAGTGGGACCAGCGTAGATTTTGAGATGTGAGCCTTACAAACAGGGCACTGGGGATGGTCTTCTGAATCCGGGGTCGGGCCCTGTACATGGAGCCACTTGTAAATGCAAGGCCAGCAGTACAAGTGGCCACAAAGTGTGACCACCGGATCGTGGGCAGATTCTAGACATATGTTGCAATCAAAGCATAAGCTGGAAGTGGAAGCTTTTTCTAAAACCATGTTTTTTTGAAACTGATCTTCAACTCTTTTTTCCTGTTTGGGATCGATGCATATGGATGATGTGAGCTTATCATCAGCAAAATCTGCATTTAGATGATATAAACCATCAACCAAAGACGCATCAGCATTTTTTTCCCCATTATAATCTGTCTTAATCGAGCATTTAAGGTTCCGTTTGGTAGCCAAAACTCAACAGTGGCTTATATAACAACAACAACAACAACAGTGGCTTATACTCCAGCAAATTCAGACAGACATCTCAGTCAAATAACCTAAAACTCTTACTAAACGGGATCCAAGATCAAGGGTTATTCATACTCCAACCCCAAATACTCTTAGAGGATACAAATGATGAAACCATTCAGGATAAACTCAAACCTTTACATTAGCAAAAAGACATTGATTGAAGACGATAAAAATATAAAAGAAGTTTCTAATCACGTTTTTAGCATAAAAAATAACATAAAAAACTGAGCAGAAACGTAGAAAACGGGAAACCCTACATTTGAACATGCAATTTAGGGCAAATTGATTTCTAATTTCAAATACATTTCAAACCTGGGGAAATGAAACACAAAAAAGGTGAGAAATAACGAATCATATGAATCCAGATCAATGGAAGAACATCCAGAACACCCAAAACAATCGAACGCCGATAGAGATAAAGATGAATCATAGAGAAGGAGAAGAAGCGAAGAGCATACCGGCGCGTAAGATCAATTCAAGGAGACAAAACCACGGCGGTCGGATAGAAAATGAGCTCCGGCTGTGACATCGGAGGATGATGATGGGCGCGTTAATGGCGGATGAAAAGATAGTTACTACCTGGAAATCAGACAGGGAACGGTAAGATGGAACAGTTAGCTTGTGAAAGGGGGTAAAATCATTGGCCCCCCATTTGGCACCATGGTCGGTGGCTTTGGGTTAACTTTTGTATGTTTGAATTTTTATGGATCATATGCCAAATTAAATTCTTTTTTTTTTGAAACCTGAAATTCCTCTTAAAAAAATTTTAAAACATACGGAATTATTTCATAAAGAAAAAAAAGAGAAATTATATTTAGAAAAGGTATTACCTCTATTTAATTAGATTCTTTCCATTCCGACTTTTACTTTTATGGTAAATTTTTTTAAAATTTGATTATAAATTACGGAAAAAAAATACATTAAATTGTGATAAAAAGAAATAAAGTGGATGGAAGGAGCATGTTAATAATAAAATATAAAAAACACCTTCAAATAAAAATTTATGTAGAAATAGATTTTTGTTTAGTTGTAGAAAAATTAAATACTCCGTATAAGGTTAAAATATGTAGGCTCCTCTTGATGGACCCTTGGTGAATGGTGAGTGTCAAAAAAGTTTCTAAACTTGTCCGAAAACACTATTTTCACTTTTCAAGATAAGCATTCTGAATAATTTTTTAAAGGTGCATTGAATTGTCTCTTAGAAGCAATCTCTTTAGCTTCGAGTAATAATAAAGTTGCATACACACACTTCTTCAGAGTCTAGTCTCGTGGGATCCAGCTAGGTTGTCCTTGTTAGTAAAAATTATCTTTGAAAATACTAGAAAATTAGATAATCTTCTCAAAATGCTAAAATTAAACATAAAAAAAATGTTGTTCATTATTTATCTCACATCTACATAAATTTCCATCATATAATTTTATTTTTTATCAAACTCTAAAAAACAAGATTGTTCAGTGATGAATAGAGTAATTCAATTTTCATTCAAGAATACATNAGACATAGATGAGTTCTTAACAATATTGTACTCTCTCTCTCTCTCTCTTCAGGAATTCTTCCGAATTTGACTTGACACAATTTTTAATAAAGTAAAATGTTGCTAGTTGACTGGTTGTGATTTGTGTAGAGCAAAGAGAAATAATATGGACTACATATTTATCTTCTCAAAAGGAAAGAGGAACAAAATTTTGGGACAACCCAAATAGAAAAGAAGATAATAAGCAAACACAAACACTCCATCCTTTAACACAACAGCCCAGTAGGATGTGTGTACACATACCGTACTCCTACCACACTCCTACTCGAAAGTAAACTTTTACTCGAGGGTAAAAAAGTTGTTTCTAAAAGAGAACTCTAGCTTGAGAAAAACACATAATGTACGGAAAGCATAGAGCACCACAAAAGAAGCACATTGCAAGTAGAAAAGAAAAACCTCAAAATCCTCAAATAGTAGAGTCAAACACACATATGCTCATAGCGCATTAGCGTGTACGTAAGGGTAATAAAATCCACATGCACGCACGCACGCGCGCGCGCACACACACAAAATGACCTGTTTGGAGCAACGTTTTACTACTAGGAGAGGTTCCGTTGGAGCATGAATTTCTCTATCTTATGTACGTCTTCTGGGGTGTCAACCCCATGAGCTTCATGATCCACTTTTATCACCTGTGCATAATGGCCCTTTTAATTGGTCAATTCAGAACTGAGTGACTAAAGTTGTGTAAGCCTTTCACAATAAGATATGTCAAACAAAAAACGAACGAAACTCAGTACCTTCATTTTGTATCCATTCTCGAGGACCTTTAATTGTTCAAGATCTTCTTCTAGTTGCAGCGGAGTTGGTTGCAGTTCTGGATATATTTTGAGGAACTTTGTATCATAGCTCTGAAATTGAATTCATGTGTGGTGCATTACGATCATCCACTTAACAATCTCTATTAAAAACATGAATGATAGATGCAGCCAATTAATCACAACAGCCCCGGATCAATTACCTGAATTCCGAGGTGGAGCAAATAAGGGAAGCGAGGATTAACCTTGCCGGACCTGAACATGGTATAAATATTTCATTTATTTACTCACACCATGTACAAACATAACTATAATAAAGTATAATAACTTTCAGAATTTTCATTGACACCCTAAATATTGTAGGGTGGGGTTCTTTTGACCCCAAGTTTGCCAGTCAGTCATATTACGACAATGGGGCCCTATGTTGCTCCATTGAGCCCGGACGAGATCTCTAACCCTAGTCCGGGGATCAACAGCACACCATTGTGCCCAAAATGGCTCGGTGTCACAGTATGACACCAAGACTTGGTGTCAAAAGAACCATATCATATATTGTAAGTCAACAAATCAGACTAACTTGTTGAACGGGATAAGCCCCCGAGAAAAGTAGATTGCATAACCACGATTATCAACTACACATTTCACACGGTTTGGATCAAATGCATCCTCAGGTTTCAAGGAAGTCACTGCAGTGCTAAAAACTGCATCTGGTGCAGCCTGCATCAATAAGTCAATTAGCCAGCATCTGATTTGGATAATACAAATCAATATTGGCAATGATCTTCCTAAAATCAAATGATATTTGATTTAACTCGTGTTGGAAAAAGGATGAGATCCAATGTAGGTACAAGTAAAAGCTGCACTGTATTTTCCCCAAAAACTAATAATGAGTAACAATGTATATATCCGACACCGGTTTTTCAGCATCAGGACCAACTTTACTATACCTGAAGGACTAAGACAATACCGTCTATAATTTCAGGCTCAATAAGTGGTTCATCTCCTTGAATATTAACAACAATGTCATACTTCTTTTCAAGCTTTTGAAGAGCTTCATTACAACGCTCAGTTCCTGGATATTAGCTACCAATTAGCAGTAAATACAGCAACCAGCAATGTCAAAAGATCTCCGCGGAATTAGTAACTAGTAATAGAAGTGTGATCATACCATTTCTACATGATTCAGATGTCATAATGACTTCAGCACCAAATCCCCTACAACATTCAGCAATCTTATCATCGTCCGTTGCCACAACTATCAGACAACGAACAATACAATTATGAATAATGATCCCCCCATAGAGATAACATAGTCAAAGAATCTTAAAATGAAGCTCATACCAACTCGATCCAATGTCGTAGCTAATTTTGCCCTTTCCCATGTTCTCTGTAATTGAAGTTTAAGATATCATCATTCATCAAAAGGTTAATGACAGAGTCTTAGGCTATAATAATCTTACAAATTCTTCTATTTTCTGTGCCTCTAAACTCCATTTCCATAAGTGTTTTATTTTATTTCTCACCTCTGTTAGACATTTAACAAATGAAAAATCCTCAGAATATCTCATGAATTACAGCGATTCATACTAAGGCTAGTGATCGAGATAAGATGCAATTGAGGATAACTCAAACAGGAGATTGGAGAACGTGCCTGGATCATGGGCTTGCCGAGGATATGCTGGAGCGGTTTACCTGGGAACCGAGTGGAAGCGTAACGAGCTGGTATGATTCCGATTACCCGACTCCGAAACTTCCACGATCTGGAAAGGTACCGGTGAGCGCCGGCAGCTACGGCCACGGCGGCTCCGGCGGCCAGAGCATGAATGAGCCAGGATTTTGGTGAGCTCGACGAGGACGACGACGACTTGCACGTTGACATTGTACTTGTTCTCAGATCGGAAGGGAAAATCAACCTCTACAAGCTCTCACAAAGAATTGAATCGAAATCATCCGCTCCAAAGAAGCCAGTGGAATGGTTTTTCCAATTGAAATTAGAAATAGTATGAAATTTTAAGAAAATTATACTTATGTGGTTATGTCTTGTTGTTTATGAAGTATGAACTCTATGATGTTCGATTGTAATTATTTTAAATTTAACTTCTTGAAATTAAAATAGCAAAATTTACCTCAGAGCATATATTGAAAATTACTTCTTTCGTCTAATTTTTTTTTTCAATTTGACTTGACATGAAGGTTAAGAAAAATTAAAGTGTAAATACTTTTATGTTTACCTTTGATTGATAAAATAAAGTGAACACTATAGATAAAATGTGAAAGTATAATGACACATTTATTACTCCGTAAAATTTTGTTGCCAAAATAGAAAGCGGAAAATAAATTTTAGACGGCCATGGAAAAAAAGTAAGAAAAAAATTAATAGACTATATACGGAGTAATAAGTTTTACAAAACAAAAATTAAAATAATATGATTATACTTTCCCTGTTCTAAAATATTCTTTTCAATCACTATTCACACAGTCAAACCATTATCACATTCCTTAAATATTTTTGACTTTTCATTAGTTATTTGATAGTCTTGTCACATCTTCTTTTCTAAAACTTTTGATGTACGGAGTAATTTTTATGTATATAAATTTTATATTTTAATTCTACACTTACAATCAAATAAATTGAATTAAAAATAAAGTAAGCCAAACTTCGTAAACAGAAATAGGAAAAACGTTTTAAGACAGCAAAAGTATTAGTTTATCAAATGAATCATAAAAATAGATAATAACTTGGGATAAATGCAAACTCTAGGACTAAAAGTATATCCAATTCTGCTAATTCTCTTTAAAAATTCTCTCTCTATCATTTTTACCTCTGTCATGCAACTTGATGCACATTTTGGTGTACAAGCTGAAAAGATAAGCTAGACTCATATTTAATTTCTAATCCAACTTTTAATCAATAACAACAACAACAACAACAAAGCTACCTATGCAAAACTGGACTATGTGTAGGCAATGAACCCTACAAACTAAATCATCACCTCGAGTGCCATGGCACTGAACCCCTGCCTCCGCCTCTGCCGGCGCCGGTGCCGCCACCGTGTTTCCTGTTGTACCTTTTCTTAGGGGTGTTGTTGTCCTTTCCATCTTCGTCGCCCCCGCCCTTCCGGTGCCTTTTCTTTGGACTCTTATCATTCTTCGACCTCCCGCCGCTACCCGTCTCTCCATCATCTTTCTCCTTCTTCTTGGATGGGTGTTTCTCCTTGGAATTCTTCCTCTTCTTTCCAGAGGAAGGCCTGTCTTCTTTGGCCATGCCATTTCCATTTCCCCTGGGAAGCGATTCTTCTTCTTCTTCGTCGCCAAAATGGATGTGCCAGTTATAGTGCATGCCTTCACGCTGGTCGCTGTATTTCTCTTGAGACAAGGGCGGCCCCACGCCCGGGAACAACCCCCCGCTGCCGCCGCCGCTGCCGCCCTTCCGCTCTAGTAGCACCTCGTCCGGTCGTATTATCATGCCGAGTATGCTTCTAGAAGGACCTGATTTTAATACGGCGCGTTCATTGGTGAGTGTTGAGAAAGCCATCGCAAAAGCCGATTTCACCTGCAGGGATTGGTTGGGTTAGGAAGATTGGTTCTGGAGTGACTTTAATTGATGTAAATGTGCTCTGTACTTTTGAGCGCAGACTTGGACCTGTTTGGCACTGGATTCTTCTGCTCATATTAGACTAAAAACTAATCATGTTTTTCTACCTTATTTTTCATCTTCACTTTCTTTCCAACCATCTGAATGTAAGAATAACTTAAAAATATAAATGTCACCCCTCCCCTAAAAAATCTTCAACCAAACAAGGACTTAAAAATAGATGAATGGGAATCTCAGTTCCTAGTCTTCTAGGTTTTGGCCATTTTACACTACGGTCCTCTGATGCTTAAAAACTTGGGATAAATAATTCTATCCAGTCATTACCAGAACGGCAGAGTGGTTTAATATAAACCTGGAGAGCGAAATGAGCTGAGCTCATGCTTAAATTCTTGAACTAAAATCCCTCGACAATTTTTATGTAGAGAAAGTGGTTCTTGTAGAAGAAAGTGGGACCAACCTGGAAATAGTTGAACGAGCTCTTTCCAACATCGTTCTCTGGTGCCTGTTGTTAACCCAAGGATTTACGGAAATCAAAGGCTAAAAGAAGTACAATGTTCAAAAGTAAACAAGCTTCCAAATGTAGTTTCAATTAGAAACAACGATTAAAACCTAATGGTCCCAATCAATTCCCCCAGCCGATCACATAGCCCAATTACGAAATAACTACACTCCCTCCGTCCCACTATTTTTGGAACATGAGGGAACAACAACCTAGTTGAATCCCATGAGAGTGGCTTTAGAACATGACACAGTGACATGGAAATTAAGAAAAATAAGATTGAGTGGTTGATATTGATGTTAAAAATAAGATAAAGAATGGATGTGAACCATACATATACGACCAAATATGGTATGATATAGTGGGACAGACAAAGTTAAAATAGAAAGGGGGCAAAAATAGTGGGACAAAGGAGTAAATCAAGGAGAAAGTGGAATGTTGTCATTTCACATGGAGTAGTTTTCTAAATCAAACTTATGGAAGATGGAAAGGCACTCAAAGAGATAACCTGTGGATCCTCGATGGATATGAGATTAGACCGTCCTTCGATTGAGAACCTAAGAAAACAGGGAAAAGACCAAGCTTCAAGCATTCATCCTATGATGTTTCTATTGCATGATCTAATATTAAATTAGGAAATGAAGCAATGAGTTACTATGATGTTTGACTATTGCATACCCTTTAGTGCTCTTCCGGAAGAAGGTTCCATCTCCATTACATGATAGTCCAACAGAAGATGTATTCAATTTGCGTCCATAAAGATCAAAGAAAGCAACCTATATATTAGGAGAAACACATCACTCCCACATAAATATATATGTGGACATCATCCATCAAGCTATGTTAAAAGATTCTGCTCTTAGAAAACTTTGATAACAGTATAGCAAAGTTTTTTGTTAAGAGCTATGTCAAACAAGGAAAGAGTGAGAGAAAGTCTCACCAAAAGCACTCCAAGATTCAGTTCCTTAGAAGCTTGATAGTCACGGTGGTTCTGAAAAACATACCATGCAGAAAATGAGAATGTTAAAAATCCAGTTGACATAGGGGAGAAACACAATGCTATTACCGGGGGAACGGATCTACAATGCAATTGAGTTTGAAAGCATGATTCAGTTAGTTACCCGCAACATTGCTATGAGCATGACAAGAAGACCATAGGAACCAATCCCACCTGAATAAACCTGCAACATAAGGAAGTTCGACATCAACAACTATTACTGAACAAGAACTGAACTGAAACACAAAGTCTGAATCAGCAAATTATGTCCAAAAAATCCCACCTCGTTTAACTCTCTTTGCTGTAAGAAAATCTTCAAAATTAAACACAAGGGCCGCAATGGAGGCCATTTAGAAACAGCATCCTGAAAGAAATTATGAGTGTATCAGCAACAAAATAATAGTAATGGCTATAACATTAGGTCATTATCCTTTCTTTCACAGTTCAGTAAGTTGAATGATGAGAATGTGTTAAAATAACAAACCACAATAAACTCTGCAGCTTTTGGCCCATTTTGTAAATCAAAACTGCAACCAAGAGAAAACATTTCAGAATCAGATGGAGAAAAAAACAAATAATGGGATAAAATGAAAATGCAGACAGAGATTATATCAACCTTAAATCAAATGAAATGCCACTTTTCTTTTCTATAAATTTGATGATTGGTACACGGGCCTTTGCAATCACCTGATTTTTAGAGAAGGCAAAAACATAAGAATGGAATTATGAAACATGATAATGAGGGTAACACTGAACTGAAATCTACCTGTATTTTTTTGGCAATTTTTTTCTGAGAAAGGGCTTTGGATAAAGCATGTAACCCAATTTGAGGACTTCTGATGTTTGAACCCATAATGACAACCTAGAAATCAGCAGACATCATGATTCTTGTACCAAATTCGAGTAACAGATTAAATATTCAAGCAATCATTGTGATGCCAAGGATATGAACTTCCACATGCCAAACATATTCTTTTTCACCACTGTGAAGAAAGACATTAGTTCATATGATCAGTGTTCAATAAGAAAGAAGTTTTACTGATTATAATGTCTATTTCACCAAACAGCCTATCTACTTTCCAAGTAGAAGCAATGTCTACGTACAACCACCCCACACCTCACAATACAGGATTTTACTGTTCTTGTTGTACAATCTCTATTTCACACGAACTCTCCAGAAAAGCTTGTGTAAGAGATGTAGCGGTGAGGGCGTGTGGCAGCTGTCCCCTCTCAGAGTCTCAGCTACTCCTTAAATTTGGTTCAATATTTTAAATTTGTAAGCATTTGATGTATGGTTCTAAAAAATATATGATTTTCAACACTCCAACATGGAAAAATAATTTTTTCCCCCGCGATTTAAAAACTTGAGTCGGAGAACACAGAAAAGAATCAATATACAATTATACATGCACTGGCAATTACAACAATATACCAACAAAACAGACCTCATCGTAGCAAACCTCCATGGATTAAAAAGCTTACTGGTTGCTATCAATGGGAATTAGAAAGTGAACTATACCAATAACTTACATCGATATCGCTGGATGGAAGATACAGCCCTGTCCTGAAAGACCCAAAAACTTCTGGCTGAAACAAAATATAAGAATCTTCACAAATTTAGGATGTATTTAAGGAAAGAAAAGGGATGGAAGATGCAAAACATATTCAGAAGGGGGGGGGGGATGTCGATTAGCTCTAAAGTTGAGAGACCTTGCTTTCGGGCCAGATATACTTGATGACATCAAACACACGCTCTACAGCTGCATTGCGTGCCTCTTGCTCCTCTTGGCTTGGAGATAGGAAATCACAAAAATCTATTATTTCTGCAATCTCACAGGCCCGAAGTTAACAGCTAAACTTAATTCCAAATTTCCAATAACAAAAAACAGAAAATTCCAGGATTATCAGTGAAGTCACTTCAACCAAACCCTAAAT